AGCTGGAGCTGCTGCTGGAGCTGCTGCTGCTGTCGCCGCCGCCGCCGCCGCCGCCGCCGCCTGACTGTCCTGCCTCCACACACTTCCCCCGCCCTCACCTCAAACATCACGCTAAGTGGAAGCTAATGGTGGTGGTGGTGGTGGTAAAAGTAGTGGAAACAGTGATGGAACGGTAATGGCTGTGGTTAACAGTGATGGTGGTAGCAGTGTTAGTGGTGGTACTGATGGCAGTTGTGGTGAGTGATGGTGGTAATTATAAGTCATGGTGGTAATTGCTATAAATGATGGTGTTAGTGAAGACAATGGTAATGATGACTAGTGGTAATGGTGTTGTTGTTAGTGACTATAGTATCTAAGTGATGATAATGAGGCGGCGCTTGAGTTAGTGAATATACCTGATCGGTTTCGAAAGTTGTTCTAACCTTGCAGCCTCGCCTGGGACCAAGCTTAACTATTTATTGTCAGTTTAACCTTTTTATTGCTGCTGGCGGCTTCCTCACCCCACGCATCACAGCCTGTTTGACTTGGCTGTAGGTAGTGATTCAGTGTCTTCTTGAAAACTTCTACAATTGTTCCTGCAATATTTCTGATATCTGCTGGCAGCAGGTTTAAGGGCCTTGAACTACGGATGTTGATACAGTGTTTCCTGGCTGTACCCACGGCACCCCTGCTTTTCAGAGGATTTATCTTAAATTTCCTCCTAAATCTCTCAGTAGGCTTGGGACTAGGCTCGAAGGTATCTCTCATGCATATATTAGGTATTTCACATGTATATACTATTAGGTATCTCTCGGGTATATACTATTAGGTATCTCATGTATATATTATTACGTATCTCTCATGTATATAATAGGTATCTCTCCATCCCTCTAGAGAGTAATATAAAATACGAAGATTTTTTTTTTAGTGACCCAATAACCTGAGAGGAGAATATTATGTTTTATAATAAGCTTGTAAATGAAAAATTTAATATTACATTTTAAAAAAATAACAATTAGCCCAATAAAACTGAAAAATTTTCCTAGACTTATAATGTAATAATATTGGTAGAATTACCGACAATATGTTAAGTAAAAGGACACAAGTGTAACTAATGTGATTTTTTATTGAGTCAACGTTTCGCTCTCCAGGAAGCTTGACGAAGCTATTATATCATTATTCATTCATTAGAGATTCGCCGGTACTTCCGGCCCGGGTCTTCTCCATATGGTGACCCGGCTTATCATTATTATTAATTATTATTATTTTAACAGACTACTAATGTTGAGATACTTTATTAAAATTGGAAGTAATGATATATTATGATGAGAACAACAATAAAATATTTACAAAGATAATATTTATATTATAACAACAATTACTTGTTATACATGTATTAATATGTATTAAAAGTGTATTACACACGCATTATACATTTACTGCTACTAATGTTGTCCCAGCTGTGTGTGTGTGTGTGTGTGTGTGTGTGTGTGTGTGTGTGTACTCACCTAGTTGTGGCTGCAGGGGTCGAGTCACAGCTCTTGGCCCCGCCTCTTCACTGGTCGCTATTAGGTCGCTCTTCCTGCTCCATGAGCTTTAATCATACCTCTTCTTAAAGCTATGTGTGGATCCTGCCTCCACTACATCACTTCCAAGACTATTCCACTTTATGACAACTCTGAAGAAATACTTCCTAACATCCCTATGATTCATCTGAGTCTTCAACTTCCAACTGTGACCCCTTGTTGCTGTGTCCAATCTCTGGAACATCCTGTCTCTGTCCACGTTGTTGATTCCTCTCAGTATTTTATGTGTCGTTATCATAACCCCCCTATCTCTCCTGTCCTCCAGTGTCGTCAGGTCGATTTCCCTTAACCTCTCCTCGTAGGACATACCCCTTAGCTCCGGGACTAGTCTTGTTGCAAACCTCTGCACTTTCTCTAGTTTTCTTATGTGCTTGGCTAGGTGTGGGTTCTAAAATGATGCTGCATATTCCAATATAAACCTAACGTACACGGTGTACAGGGTCCTGAACGATTCCTTATTAAGATGTCGGAATGCTGTTCTTAGGTTTGCTAGGCGCCCATATGCTGCAGCAGTTATTTGGTTGATGCGCGCTTCAGGAGATGTGCCTGGTGTTATACTCACCCCAAGATATTTTTCCTTGAGTGACGTTTGTAGTCTCTGGCCCCTAGACTGTACCCGTTGTGGTTCTTCTTTGGGTGGTGTGTGTGTGTGTGGTGTGTGTGTGTAAACGTTTCACACAAAGTTTAAAAACTTTAATTTACAGAAGCTTAAAAAAATAAAGTTATACGAAGTTTTAAAAAAACGATGATTGAGGCAGGATGATGTGGGCCCGATTAGAATTTTTTAGAGGTGCCAGGGGCCGGGTGGACGGAAACCATGGGGACGGATGACCAGGGGAGGATAACCTATGGACGGTGACCGGGTACAGAGGCCGGGTGGACGTACGCCCAGGTAACGGGAAAACGTAAAGTTCGCTCTATCGTAGTAATTCAGACGAATACGCCCATGAAAAAAAAAAAATAAGTGTTTTGGGGGTTTTTTAAAGGCAGAAAGGCAGGTAAAGGGGAGGGGAGGGAAGGGGGGATAGGAGGGGGGGAGATAAGACAGTCTCTGGGGGAAAGGGGGGAAAGGTAAAGGGGAAAAAAGTTAAAATTTTGGAAGAAAAACGACTAGGAAGGGGGTTAAAAAGGAAGGTAGGGGCAGCGGTGAGGAAAAAAAGTGGTGGGCGTGAGGGAAGTGGGGGGAAAGGAAGCTGAACAGGGGAAGGGGAAAAGGGAAAATGGAGAGGGGGGAAAGGGGAAAAAGGGAAAATGAGACAGGGGAAGGGAGAAGGAGGGGAAAGCAGGGGAAGGGAGAAAAGGAAACTGAGAACGGGAAAAGGGAAAATGAAGCAGGGGGGAAGGGGGAAGGAAAGGACAGGGGGAAGGGGAAGGGGAGGAAAAGGGGGGGGAAGGGGGAGGGGGGGAAAAAGGGGGGCACAAAAAAGGGGAGGGAAGCAAAAAGATGGAAGAGTGTAATTGGTGGGGGAAAGCCCAAAAAAAATGGTTGAGAGGGAGAAGCGAAGAGCAGAGAATGAGGGGGAAGGAAAGAGCAGGGGGAAGGAAAATAAAGGGAAAAGGGGGGTCTGGGGGAAAGTGGGGGGGCAGGGGAAAGGGGGTGGGGGGGCAGGGAAAAAGGGGGGGGGCAGAAGGGGGTGGGGGGGAAAGGGAGTGGGGGCAGGAAAGGGGGGGGGGACAGGAAAGGGATAGGGGAGGAAAGGAGTAGGGGCAAGAAAGGGGGGTGGGGGGAGGAAAGGGGGGTGGGGGGCAGGGGAAGGGGGTGGGAGGCAGGAAAGGGAGTGGGGGGAGGGGGAAAAGGGGGGGGGGGCAAAAGGGAGTGGGGGGAGGGAAAAGGGGGTAGGGGCGGGGAAAGGGGGTAGGGCAGGAAAGGGATGGGGGGCAGGAAAAAGGGGGGGGGGGGACAGGAAAAGGGGGGGGGGGGGGGGAAAGGGGGGTGGGGGGAGGAAAGGGAGTAGGGCAGGAAAGGGGGGTAGGGGGAGGAAAGGGAGTAGGGGCAGGGAAAAGGGGGTAGGAGCAGGAAAGGAGGGGGCAGGAAAGGGAGTGGGGGAGGAAAGGGATAGGGGCAGGAAAGGGGGGTGGGGAGAAAGGGGGTGGGGGGAAAAAGGGAGGGGGGGCAAAAAGGGGGGTGGGGGCAGAAAAGGTATGGGGGCGGAAAGGGGGGGGGGAGGAAAGGGGGGGGGGCAGGAAAGGGGGGTGGGGGCAGGAAAAGGGTGGGGGGAGGAAAGGGATGAGGGCAGGAAAGGTAGTGAGGGAGGAAAGGAGTGGGGGCGGAAATGGGGGGGGGTGGAGGGGGAGGAAAAAGGGGTGGGGGGGAGGAAAGGGAGTGGGGGGAAAAGGAAAAGGGAGTGGGGGGGGAGGAAAAAGGGGGGGGGGGGGGGGAGGATGGGGGGTTGGGTGAAGACTTAGGGGGAGACAAAGTTCAAAAAACAACAATCACATTTACATAGACGCTGCGGAGTTTTTCATCATAACTTGGGGCCCCTCGAGGTACGATTATTCTTATTCAAAAAATTTGTCCAGAAGCCAAAAAAAAAAAAAAAAAAAAAAAAGGCACGCCCCTGCTAAGTACAAAAATTTCAATAAATTTTTTCCCAGGCGTGATCCCCCTCCCCCCCCACGAAACCTGTACATTGAAGTGTTGCCCGTAATAAGGGGCCCATATTCGGTATACGCCGCCATCACAGATTTAAAAAAATTTAAATTTTTATACGAATACGGGTCATCAAATCACATTTAAATTTCCCCAAAAAAAAAATTTAATTTCCGTAAATATGGGTTATATTTTCTCTGGTTTGTATAGCTAAATGGAAACAAAGAGGAACAAACAATCGTGTGAATGCTTCCCATTTTCTGACAAACGATAAAAACACAAATCATACGGCATAATCACATGGCAAAAGCCTGTGTGATACGGCTTGTGTTGTTTGTTAACACGATCTTATCCCACTCATAGTTATGAGATCAATAGCATCTCAACATGACCCGTGTGGTTTAACGCCTTAATTACTGAGACCGTTTCAAGTCGCTTGTCCTGTACTCCCTGAAACGCAGTCGGAGATACCATCATTTTCATTTGGAAAATCCTAGAGACTGGCCCCGAGTCTGCACACATTAATTACTCCCTACGAAAGAATAAGACTGGGCAGATGGTGGTACACACCTCCAATGAAAAGCAGAGGTACCGTGAGTACGTTAAGAGAAAATACAAAACACTAAAAGTGCGGCCACCAGTAACAGCCTCGTCGATCAGGCCCTGATCCACTGGGAGGCCTGGTCATGGACCGGGAAGTGGGGGCGTTGACCCCCCCGGAACACCCTCCAGGTAGACGATCTTATTATCACAGCTGAGAGGCCAATGGGAAAGTAGATGTTCAATCCAGACAAGAAAAATGTTCTTTGACCAGACAAAGAAACGCCAAGTATAAAAGTGTTATTGAAGAAGAAGAAATAATAAAAATGATGGAGTTATTCAAGAAGAAATAGTGTGACAAACTTCCGAGACATTACCTTCGTGGGCGGGTAGTGGTGGAGGAGGTCGTTGTGGTGGTGGTGGGGGGAGTGGTTGGCAGTAGTTACTCTCCAACACGTATCCCCGGTGATGTACAGGGCTATTGTACCCCGAGGTCGCCGGAACCGGGCTGTTGTACCCAGAAACGAGGGGTACAGGGCTATTGTACCCTGAAGTATGATGTACCGGACTGTTGTATCCTGGAGCGTGGGGTACCGGGCTGTTGTACCCAGAGGCGAGGGGCACAGGACTATTGTACCCGGGAGTATGATGTACTGGGCTGTTATACCCTGAAGCGTGATGTACTGGGCTGTTGTACCCTTGGGCATTGGGCACCGGGCTGTTTGGTCCAGGGCTACAGTGATTGGAGGGATGGTGTATGGGGCTGAAGTGCACTGGGCTGTGGTTAACCGGGCTATTGGGTCCAGGGCTGTGATGAGGGCTGTGGTAGGGACTGTTGTAGGTGGTGTTATAGTAAGGTACTTCATGACCACACTTCACCTGGTGGCTGCGGGCGTGGGCCGCCCGCCGGTGCGAGGCTGGGCTGCGGGAACCAGGCTGGTGGTGGACCGGGCTGCCTGGATGATGAGCGGGCAGCAGGGGCACGTGGGTTGGTGTGTGTGGGCGTGAAGAGTTGTTGTGGGGCGGGGGGTTGCACTGCACGTGGGTCCAGTATGGGCACGCCTCACCCTCATCTTGGGGCTCAGGAAAGACAGTGTCTAAGGGCGGCCTTGACCCACTGTCCTTCTTGCCCTTCCCAGACTTGCTCCAGCTGAAAAGCTTAGTGCAGAACATAGGCGCCATGGTGGCTGCCCACACGGCACAAAACAACCTACCTGATCAGTAGGAAACAGATCGCCTACGGGCAAGTGGTTGGAGCCTATTACCCATGTTGGCTGGACACGCGTCGTACGACACACGTCGCAGTACCTCGTCGGTTCAAGGCAACCCAACTTAAAAACATTGACCTCCTAAGGCAGACTGCGTGACTAACAGCGTGGTTAAGACTTTCCTTGTACAATACAAGTTCGTCTCTGTATGTGCCTCAAGCTACGATGATGGCTTCAACTTAGTAATAGTGAACAATTTACTAGCCTGTCTTTGTGCTTTGCTATTCAGAGCAGCCACAAGAGCACTTCAATGGTAGTCATCATCTACAGTGGAGGCCTGACATCAGCAGATGACACCAACATTCAATCTCGGACCTCCACAACAGACATCAGTATTCACTTCTCACACGCAATACCAGTCTATCCCGGCAGCCGTGGATGGAACACCCTGCTGGCATGGGAGGACTGTTCCCTCCCCTGTCGAGGGGGAGGACAGGAGGGTTGCTAGGCGCAGCGAATGAGGGGAGACTCCTAGCTATTGTGTTCTCAATATTCTCTCAATATAATGTTGTTATTCCGCCCAGTATCTTCAACAGATGCCATGTTGAATTCCCCATCATTCCAGGGTCTCAAAAGACTGCTAGTTCTTGAAATTAGTTATCAGTAATGATGTCCACTTTCCACCTTGTCACACCGTGAGATTACAATGGTCTTCAACTGGTGATAACGCTGTTTGTTTACGTGATCTAGCACATACAAACAATGATTTACCCAACCTAAATTACGCCGGGAATGGGTGGTTATGTAACCTTCGTGCTAAAGCAGTGACTTGGGTTGGTGTTGGATGAGCTCTCCACCAGAGTGGAGCAGAGACGTGTGTCCGGGGTCCCTCCTAAGATTAGCTTCACTTTATCCCTTTTCACCTCGGCACACGTATTACTGTCACTCACAAGTCTTCACCTTAAACCCTGGTCCGTCTTTTAAATGGACCTCAAACGGACCGAGAGGAACTGCAAACATCATTTCCTCATCAGGTTTAAATCAAGAAAATCTTTCGGAGCTTCCAAATGAACCTCAAATGAGTCTAGCACACACTGGCCTGAGATCTAACAGGTCCCATAGGGGGGGGGGGGGACGCACTCAGATCCTTTCAGAGATGCTCATCATTATTCCTTCTCAAGTTTCCACGGTTAGTTTACCCAGGAGGGGCATGAGGTGCAGGACGAGGGGGTGAGGGCTAGAGTGGCCTCGTCTCACGTTTGACGCTGAAGTATTAAATGCCCTAACTGTTTTTTCTGAGTCCTTTTGTAGGAGGATGGGCATACCCGTGCCGAGCATCAGCTATGGCAACCTTTTATGCATAACTGATAGCTTAAATATTTCTTTTCAGTAGAAATTCTAAAGAATACTGTCTTAAAAATTAGCACTCGGGTTTGAGCAAATGTGCATGTGTCAATGGTAGCGCAGTCATACGTGTTGTATCCTGACAACAGCCACTCACAATTCGTCATCCAGTGGGACCTACTCATCAGTTCTCCCCCAATGAATTATCACTTACTGCTTCCCTCGTTCTTCCCCTCATTCTGATGGAAGGGAGTGTTGGGGGAGTTGAAAGAGGGAGAGGGGAAAGCCGAGTTACTTCATGGTTGACGCATCCCAATCCTCGTTTGTTCCGACAAGTCACCTCTTACTGCACGTCCTCATCTTATTCCACATCTCCTTTACTCTGCATTTCCTCATCATCGCACAGTGTCTTCGAGATTTGCAGACTTCTAATTTTTTAATCAATATCGTTTGTTTATTTTACCCTCCGTTCCCCTCCTGTTCCAAGATTAAAGCCCCCGGTAAAAAAAAATCGATTCCTCATAAGCAGTTCAGCTACATTATTCTTATTTTGTTTACTGTGAATCTGCGTGTTATGGAAGGAAGCAAATGCGTTAGGACTCCATCGACCAGCAGCTGTTAACTTGAAGCAGGGACATTACACCTCCCTGGTTCTCCTTTGTCTCCAGCTGCTCTCGGTTCTCTCATGTGATTGGTTCTGTTAGGCCACTTTCAGGGAGAGTAAATCGCCTCCCCTCACACATCCACCCCAGGAGGTACAAAATTTACTGCCACCGATAAATGGAACAGCTTTTATGCTTGACTGGAGTGGGGAATTGCTAGTCTGCACTAGAATATTAATCAAATTCTTATACAGTCGTATTCATTAAAACCACCAAATGAAACTTTGGTCTCCCTTGCTCATTCATCTTTCTCTGGCTGAAGTACCTCGTCAAAATTATACTGCTCATTATAGGCCACGAGAACAGTCTTCACACAATTTCATTTCAGTTTTCGTTAATGAGCTTCCAGAGTAACATTCTCATTCAGTGCATGAAGGGTCGAGCAACAAGCTGCCAGTCACCACCCAGGTTCCCGAGAGACCCTTAACAAATATGAATTTTTCATAACAAGCCTCGTGCAGGGGGCGAGCCATGCATGGCCTAGGGACGTGCCGTGCATAGACAAGGGGCGAGCCAAGGGACGAGCCGTGCATGGACAAGGGACGAGCCGTGCATGGACAAGGGACGAGCCGTGTATGAACAGGCCCTGGGCGCCCTGAGGGAGGCGGGGAGTCACCACGTCACTCAAGATTTGTTTTATCTGGGTGGCGAGCGAGGCTGCAGACTCAAGAGGTGGTTGAATGCAGCCAGACTGTCTCCTGGGACTCGCCACGGACAAGTGTCGCCAGTGTAACTTATTGAAAAGAGGCTAACCTAACCTCAGTGGTCTCTGGGCTCAGTCTTGTTATCTCTGGGTTCGATTTTCTGAACTCTATTCAGCCTTCTGTGTGCACGGGGATCGGTCTTATTTCTGAACTCTGGGTCCAGCCATATCTCTGTTGCCAATTTAGGCAACAACAACGTTTTTTTATAAACATACAAGTGTCTGTGTTTTATTAGTATTGCCAAGGCATCCGAAATTTTCCATAGTTTGTCGTTTCCGTTCAAATTTTCACACGAAATACAGAACGTGAAACACACTGCTCCACAACACATCCAGGACTCGGAAGCCCCGCGAGAGCGCGTCGACCTGAGGTCTAGAGTAATCTCATAAGGGATGGCAGCAACAACAGTGTCAACAGTATAAAAAAAATCACCAAGACGGTGAAGAACCCATTGAGCAGGTCAGCTGGTGTGACATGCAACAGAAGGTCGACAATGTGCCACATGGACGAGGCTTGGATGACTAGGCTACCAGGCCAGGCTCAGCTACCAGGGCTCTCTCATCCACGGGAGCTGAGACAAGCTCAGCCTTCCTCTGTGAGTTGAGATAACACGCGCGGCTCATCCTTAATTCTTTTGTTTTTGTTTTTTTCGTATTAGTGTTGGCTCCCTCGCAAAGATTCTTTCCACAGCTGACGTTGATAATCTCGTAACTGAGTCGATGTCGGATTATGCAAAAAAAATAAAAAAAAATCTGAGTTTTATTTAAAATTAGAAAAAACTAGCACCATGAACACACGAACTAATTGGTTACTAAGCTTTCCACTTTAAACATAATACCCGGAGAACGGCGCAACAGTCCTCCCTACACAAGGTCATAACCAAACTGAGGGGAGGACACCGCTCAGAGGTGGAGAACGAACCTCTGGCCGGAGTTGCCGGGTATGGCTTTTCTTTCTCCGGTCAATCCTCAGCCAGGAAGAATTTACATGAGCAAGCGCCTGCTTTTCTAGCAAATAAGGGCGTGAGTAAGAGGGAAAATAATATAAAGATGCGAACTGACGATGGTGAAGGAATAATGTAGAACATGAAATGCAGCGCTGGCAACGCGTGCGGCGCCGGGGAGAGCGCGACTATCCTAGGCTGCGGGATCCTGGGTGTTAAACCCCTGATGTCCCATCGTTAACCCATATTCAACCCTGAGGTTTAACCACCTAATGGTAATTAATACACGAGAGAACAAAAGCGTGGGCAATTACAAAATTAGGGGATTTTCCTGGCCACTCTTCCCTCAACACAAAGCAAGGAGGAAAGAGAAGAGTTGAACTGGCTCTTTTTCCCTCAGCCACGCCTACCCTGTACGCAGACGCATCGATCTAGACGGGGCAGCAAATTTTAGTCCTGAAGGCGCCAGAATTAGGCTGAATTAACTAACCAAGTGAAGAAGGGAAAAGGTGTGCCATAGTAACCGCGAGAGTAGCAAACATTAACTCTTGGGAGAATGACATAAAACATTAATGTAATTTTTTATTTTCAGTACCGGCACTGCTTGCGATAGTAACGAAAAAGACTGAATATTAATATAGCACTCGAAATATATAAAAAAAATAATTATAACACAATGACTAATAGCTTAGATTTTTGTCTTGCTAAAACCATCGGAAATGAATGTGTGTGTGTGTACGTCCTCACCTGTTTGTGGTTGCAGGGGTCGATTCACAGCTCCTGGTCCCACCTCTTCGCCACTAGGTCCATTCTCTCCCTGCTCCATGAGCTTTGTCGTATCTCTTGGGTATGAATCCTGCCTCCATTACATCACTCTCCAGATTGTTCCACTTCCTGACAACTCTATGGTTAAAGAAATACTTCCTAACATACCTGTGACTCATCTGAGTTTTCAACTTCCAGTTGTGTCCTTTGTGTCCCCTCGTTGTTGTGTCCCATCTCTGAAACATCTTGTCCCTATCCACCCTGTCAATTTGTATGTCGTTATCATGTCTCCCATCTCTCCTGCCTCGTGTGTGTGTGTACTCACCTAGTTGTACTCACCTAGTTGAGATTGCAGGGGTCGAGTCCGAGCTCCTGGCCCCGCCTCTTCACTGGTCGCTACTAGGTCACTCTCCCTGAACCGTGAGTTTTATCATACCTCTGCTTAAAGCTATGTATGGATCCTGCCTCCACTACTACGCTTACCAAACTATCCCACTTCCTGACTACTCTGTGGCTGAAGAAATACTTCCTAACATCCCTGTGATTCATCTGTGTCTTCAACTTCCAACTGTGTCCCCTTGTTACTGTGTCCAATCTCTGGAACATCCTGTCTTTGTCCACCTTGTCAATTCCTCTCAGTATTTTGTATGTCGTTATCATGTCCCCCCATCTCTCCTGTCCTCCAGTGTCGTCAGGTTGATTTCCCTGTGTGTACTCACCTAGTTGTACTCACCTAGTTGAGGTTGCGGGGGTCGAGTCCGAGCTCCTGGCCCCGCCTCTTCACTGATCGCTACTAGGTCACTCTCCCTGAGCCGTGAGCTTTATCATACCTCTGCTTAAAGCTATGTATGGATCCTGCCTCCACTACATCGCTTCCCAAACTATTCCACTTACTGACTACTCTGTGGCTGAAGAAATACTTCCTAACATCCCTGTGATTCATCTGTGTCTTCAGCTTCCAACTGTGTCCCCTTGTTACTGTGTCCAATCTCTGGAACATCCTGTCTTTGTCCACCTTGTCAATTCCTCTCAGTATTTTGTATGTCGTTATCATGTCCCCCCTATCTCTCCTGTCCTCCAGTGTCGTCAGGTTGATTTCCCTTAACCTCTCCTCGTAGGACATACCTCTTAGCTCTGGGACTAGTCTTGTTGCAAACCTTTGCACTTTCTAGTTTCTTTACGTGCTTGGCTAGGTGTGGGTTCCAAACTGGTGCCGCATACTCCAATATGGCCTAACGTATACGGTGTACAGGGTCCTGAACGATTCCTTATTAAGATGTCGGAATGCTGTTCTGAGGTTTGCTAGGCGCCCTTTATGCTGCAGCAGTTATTTGGTTGATGTGCGCTTCAGGAGATGTGCCTGGTGTTTATACTCACCCCAAGATCTTTTTCCTTGAGTGAGGTCTGAGCCCCTCTGACCCCTAGACTGTACTCCGTCTGGGGCCCTTTCTTTGCCCTTCCCCAATCTTCATGATTTTTGCACTTGGTGGGATTGAACTCCAGGAGCCAATTGCTGGAACCGGGTCTGCAGCCTGTCCAGATCCCTTTGTAGTTCTGCCTGGTCTTCGATCGAGTGTATTCTTCTCATCAACTTCACGTCATCTGCAAACAGGGACACCTCAGAGTCTATTCCTTCCGTCATGTCGTTCACAAATACCAGAAACAGCACGGGTCCTAGGACTGACCCCTGCGGGACCCAGCTGGTCACAGGTGCCCACTCTGACACCTCGCCACGTACCATGACTCGCTGCTGTCTTCCTGACAAGTATTCCCTGATCCATTGTAGTGCCTTCCCTGTTATCCCTGCTTGGTCCTCCAGTTTTTGCACCAATCTCTTGTGTGGAACTGTGTCAAACGCCTTCTTTGCAGTCCAAGAAAATGCAATCCACCCACCCCTCTCTCTCTTGTCTTACTGCTGTCACCATGTCATAGAACTCCAGTAGGTTTGTGACACAGGATTTCCCGTCCCGAAACCATGCTGGCTGCTGTTGATGAGATCATCCTTTCTAGGTGTTCCACCACTCTTCTCCTGATAATCTTCTCATGATTTTCCCATACTATACATGTCAGTGACACTGGTCCTGTAGTTTAAATCTTCATGTCTGTCTCCTTTTTTAAAGTTGGGATACTTTGCTGTCTTCCATGCCTCAGGCAATCTCTCTGTTTCGATGTATGTATTGTTATGATGTTAGTGGTACACATGCGCTCTGCTTCGTACTCACCTCTTATACCCGATGGGGAGATGGTCATCTGGCCCCATTGCCTTTGAGTGGTCTAGCTCACTAGAAGCCTCTTCACTTCTCCTCGGTTGTGTGCACTCGTCCAGCTACTTGTGTGTCTGCCCCACCTCTCGTCTTCTGATCCCATTCTGACTCCTCTGATGAACACTTCTTGAATCTCCTGTGAGTTCTTCACTTACTTCACGGTCATTTCCTGTTGTCTCTCCTCCTTCCTTCCTTAGCCTGATTACCTGGTCCTTGACTGTTGTTTTCCTCCTGATGTGGCTGTACTCACAGTTTCTCGGGTTCCCGATTTGGGGTTGTCGCTGCTATGGTCATTTTCTGTGTGTGTGTTGTGGTGTGTGTTGTGTGTGTGTGTGTGTGTGTGTGTATCCGTCCGTCCGCGCGCACGTTTCTTATCGACAAGGCTTACCGATTCTTAGTCTCCACGGCCTATTGCACCTACTCTTGAAACTGTGTACGGGGTGTACCTCCTCTTGGTCTGTCACAGGGTTGTCCATCAGGGGGCCCATGGACACTTACCAGGGGTGCATGAACGCTCACTGGGATACATTAGTATTTTATACTAGTCTTTGGTAAACGAATATTTATTAATTCTACTTAAAAATAACATGTCGATAAATTATGGAATATATTATGAATCAAAGATAAAAAATAATCAGCCAATATATTTTTGATGTTAATTCAATCATTTATTTGTTTTTTTCTATCAAAAAATTTATGAGATGGAGTGCGTGGGTTGGGATAATAAGGTTAGACAACACTTCTAGAATAAGGGGTGAGGAAGAGGAAGAGGGGAAACAGGAGGAAGAAGGGGAGGAGGAGGAGGAAGAGGGGAAGGAGGAGGAGGAGGAGAAGGAGGAGAAGGAGAAGTAAGAGGGGAAGGAGGAGACGGGAAGCAAGAGAAGAGGGTAAGAGAGGGGAAGCAGGAGGAGGGATTGAAGGAGTCTTTTGAGAGCACCTACGGCAGGGAGAAGCTTGCTACTACAAGCAGGTCAGGTTACCAAGGTTGATATTACCCTGATGCATGCAGCCCACTACCTCAACCAGTTACCACCTCCACCAGACCACCACATCACCTTACCTGTCCACTAACTCTACCAGTCACCCAACTCAACCGCCCGCCACATCCACCACTTCAACCCACCACCACACCAACTAAGAATACCAGCCCTACCATTCTAACCAATCTACCGTCACACCAACATACCACCTCTCCAGCTCATCATACCAATAATTTATCATACTAATCATCAATCATACTAATCAACCGTCGTACCAATCAGTTATCACACAAACTTAACAATTCACCATCCAACCCACCAATCCATCACACCAACTCACCAATCCACCCCACCAACCCATCAACAAACCAATTCACCACCCCAACAACCCCAATATAGCTGTGACCTAAAACAATAGACGTCAACCTGCCTCATATATTGACTAGTCAATGATGTAAGTAAAATATATGAGGGGCTTCGTAACAAATACGGTGTCGATATAACACAGAGTATAACAATGAATGAACAAAAACAAATTACTTAACATTAAATAATGAAAGAACAAAGATACAGCAACGCAAGCTTTTATTTGCTCGTTTCGCTCACCTAAGAGCGAAACTTGTACAAATAAAGACTGACTCTGCTGTGTCTTCTGTTCTATGATATCCGTCGTAGTCTTTTTTTTTACTTATCAAACCAGATGATATGCCACGATAATGAGGTAATGCGTTCAGAAGCAAGACATGATGCGTTCAGAAGCAAGACATGATGCGTTCAGAAGCAAGACATGATGCGTTCAGAAGCAAGACATGATGCGCTCAGAAGCAAGACATGGTGGGTTCAGAAGCAAGACATGATGCGTTCAGAAGCAAGACATGATGCGTTCAGAAGCAAGACATGATGCGTTCAGAAGCAAGACA